ACACACACACACACACACACACACACACACACACACACACGGCTATTCTGCACCTTTTAAAGCTAGTATGGCAGTTATCCAGGCAAAATGGAAAATTTTTTAAATTCTACAGCATTTCAAAGAATGTTAAATTACCCCCAAAAAAGTGAGAATTATTTCTCCAGGGCACAGAATTATTTATATAGCTACCATAACTTTAAAAACAATATTGATGTATAATGACACTTGTTCCATTTTAAAAAAAAAAAAATCTCTCCTGACCTTTTCAGGTTAATTGTTCCTTGATTAGTCGATCCAAACTAAGCATTCCAGACATTGTTGTACAATAGCTCCATTCTGTATTCCAAAATATTTATGTGGTATGACACACTTGAGCTACATTTGCTTATGGTAGTTAGGTTTAGAACCATTTTAGAGCACACACAAACCTATCATCCAGCCAGTATTCCAATTAGACTTTTTCAGAGCTTCCCATCCCCTCCGTACTCCTCTCAAATCTGTTTCTGCTGGCTGGGCACAGTGGCTAATGCCTGTAATCCCAGCACTTTGGGAGGCCAAGGAGGGTGGATCACTTGAGATCCGGAGTTCAAGACCAGCCTGACCAACATGGTGAAACCCCATCTCTACTAAAATACAAAAATTAGCCAGGCGTGGTGGCGGGGGCCTATAATATCAGCTACTCAGGAGGCTGAGATGAGAGAATCGCTTGAACCCCGGAGGCGGAGACTACAGTGAGCCAAGATCGTGCCATTGCACTCCAGCCTCGGCAACAAGAGCAAAACTCTGTCTCAAAAAAAATAAAAAATAAAAAATAAAAAAATAAAAAAAATCTGTTTCTGCCATCCATCCTTCTCTCCTTTCTACTTGCACCAGCAATTCCGTCAGCAATTCCATCCAAATATACTCTAGCTATCGACCATCTATGTCACCTAATCCTTTTTGAATGTGTCCTATAGATCTCTCTTCTAATGTAAGTATTCTATATGCTTTCTTCACACACCTCTCACACAGACTGTTCAGGGGAAGGCCATCTAACTTCTTCAGTATCTGCCATCACTCTTCCAAGTTGTACGTAGACCTGAAGAATCCTCCCCAGTTGCTTTGGAATCAGGCTCTCTGTCTTCTTCCCCACCCAGTCCTCTCTACCAACATCTTTGGATCTTCCTCTGCACTCAGTTCCCCACAATCCCCACTTAATCTTTGGGAAGTCCATGCCTATCGATGATTCAGTCAGGATACTGACCTTCCTCCTCTTCTAACCAGAAAAATTCCATCATCATTCTATCTCTGCTTCCATTTAATACGGCCAAATTTTAGCTTTCTTCATCATCCACACTGCCCCATTTCTAACACCTCAAACTGAAATTCAGCTTACCCCTTAAGACTAAAACCTGCTATCTCCCCAACTTTCCCATCCTTTCACCCCCTACTGCCTTTTGATCTTCATAACAGCCCACAATCCCATAATCTATCTAACTTCTGCTTGAATTGCCTCTCTATCCAGCCTGGTCCAATGGTCAGACAATTCACAATCTCTCTAGAGTCCCCCACCCCTTGGTCTCCTTCCCTTCCTACTTTATTAATAGCTGTCCTTCTTTCCCCTTGTTTATCAAACTATCTCTTCCCATTGCCTCCATTTCTTTAGCCACTTATTCCTTACTTCCATGAAATCTGGCTTCTATACAGACTACTATGCTGATACTACTTTATTCCTTACTTTGTCAGAATTCATGTAACCAACTTACCACCAGACTGAGAGACTTTTGCTCATTTCTCATGTCCTCGATCTTTCTGCCAACATTGGACACTGTTGGCTGGATAAATGTTTCTTCCTTCCAGTTCTAGCTCTTTTTCCTCTTCTGAGACATGACACCATCCTCATTCCCTTCTTCCATCTACTTGCACCTATGTTTTCTTCTGGGCCTTTTTCTTCTTCCCTTCTCTAAAGCTTGGTATTTTCTAACATTGCATCCTCATCTTCTTTTTACCCCATATTTCTTCCCTTCTAGATCTAATCTCTCTCTCATTTCCTCATACAGTAAGACTTCAGGTTTGAAGACAGACTTGGCCTAAGTTTTGCCATTGACTAGAACAGAGTCTGGCACATAGTAAATCCTCAATAGGTAATAAGATGAATGAACTGTGAAAACACAAGCAAACCAGTCAACATCTCTGGGTCTCACTCAGTTTTATGGCACTGTTCTGTGGTCAGATGCCACAATATACAAAGAAACTTAACCAGGGACCAGAAAATAACAGGTATATAATAAACAGTTACCCTATATCCCTGCTTCTCATGCAGATAAATCCCAAACCTAAAACTGTAAGCTACACTTACACCAAAAACCCAGACCCAAATGTACCTGTGTCCCTTCATAACCAGTTGGCTCCTTAATCTCAAGAATTTGAAACTCCCCAACCTTCTATCCCAAGCCAGTTCTTCTCCCTTTCTTCTCTATTTCTATAATAATGGTACCATTCTTCTAGCTATTGAGTGTCCAAACTACAGAAATCACCTTTAATTATTTTTGTCTTATCTTCCTTGCATATCCCAAAGACTACTTCCACAATGTCCTTCAATGGCCTTCCCACTCCCACTGCCAGACCGCTTGTCCAGACCAGCACTGGCTTTCATAAAGAGCCCCAAAGTAGTCTCTTTAGTGGTCTGTTCATCTTCAGTCCCCTTCCACCTCAATCCTGCAATCACTTTCCTAAGAACATCTCTGATCATGTCAGTTACCTGTTCAAAACCCTATAATAGATCCCTAATGCTTACTGAGTAGAGCAGACTCTTCACCCTGGCAGTCTCTCCACAACATGACCAAACTTGTTGCTACGTGTTTTCTAAACACATTCTGTGTCTCTCATCTTTCTATCTCTGCTTATGTGCTTCCTTTTGTGTATTGAGCTTTCATTCCCAATCACAGCTACTGAAATCTGTCCAGACTTCAAAGTCCAGCTCAAATCTTGGGAAGTCTTCCCCAAAAACTGAGAGGATTCAAATACTTTGAGTTGGATTTGATTGTTGTTGTTGTTTTCAAAAGTTACTCAATTTTTTGTGTATGGCTCTCATTTTATTCTATTGTAATTAAAAACTTAGACATTTGCCTTCTCTACAATGTAGTAAGCTTTGTGTAGACAGTAATCATGTCTTATTAATTTTTATATCTCCAAAGGACATGGAAAAACTATCTACACATAAAAAGCTATCTGTAAGGCTGGGCACAGTGGCTCACACCTGTAATCCCAGCACTTTGGGAGGCTGAGGCACGCAAATCACCTGAGGTCAGGAGTTCGAGACCAGTCTGGCCAACATGATGAAAACTATCTCTACTAGAAATACAAAATTATCCAGGGATGGTGGTACATGCCTGTAATCCCAGCTACTCAGGAGGCTGAAGCAGGAAAATCGCTTGAGCCAGGGAGGTGGAGGTTGCAGTAAGCCGAGGCCGCGCCATTGTACTCCAGCCCAGGTGACAAGAGTGAAACTCTGTTAAATTCACGTGTATTTATCTTTAAGAAATCACACATTGGAATTTGGTGTTTTTGAAACTGCTCATTATGACCATTTGTCTATGTAGACAAAATGCAGCTTTCAAGGCTTCTTTTTTGCCAATTCTCTTAGGAATTAGCAAAAAAAAAAAAAAGAGGCTTTAGAAAATAGATATTTTGCTGGGCATGGTAGCTCATGACTGTATCCCAATATTTTAGGAGGCTGAGGTAAGAGGATGACTTGCCACCAGGAGTTCAAGACCAGCCTGGGCAACATAGTGAGACCCCATCTCTACAAAAAATCAAAAATTATTTAAGCATGGTGGCACATGCCTGTAGTCCCAGCTACTCAGGAGGCTAAGGTGGGAGGATCACTTGAGCCCTGGAGGTTGAGGATGCAGTAAGCTATGTTCACACCACTGCAGTCAGCCTGAGTAACAGTGAAACAAGAAGAAAGAAAGGAAGGAGGAAGGGAGGGAACCAGGGAAGGAAGGAAGGAAAGAGGGATGGGAAGAAGGGAGGGAGGGGAGAAAGAAAGACAAAATAAAAGAAAGACAAGGAAGGAAAGAAAGAAGGAAGAAAGGAGGAAAGGAGGAAAGGAGGGAAGGACGGAAGGAAGGAAGATACATGGTTGTGAAGTATCTTCCTACACCTTCGGCCTCTCTCTCAAACTATAGTGATGGCTGCGCTTATGGAAATGATCAATTTAGAGAAAAATAATTGTTTAATCTTCTTTGCTGGTTAAAAAGACAAGAAAATATCTCCCCCTTGAAGAGTATGATTTATGAAAGACGAAAACTGTATCAACCCAGAAATAGCATGGCAGGAATAATTTGTCAACACTTGAGAATGCTTTGGCAAACCCACCAAGGACTTTCAGTTTTTGTAGTTAGCAAGTCCCAGAAGCTTCATAGTACAGCAAAAGGGCTTTGGACTTATTCCAGCTTACCCACTAACAGGCTATGAGAACTTGTCAAAGTTACTCCTTGCTTTTGGCCTTAAGTTCTCTATCTGTAAAATAAGGAGGCTAACATACTAGGTGATCTCTCAGGTTCCTTTTATCCATGACTTTCTCTAACTCTAAGACATGTATCTGCATCTGCGGCCATCTGAAGCAAAGGAATGAAGAATCTGAGTACTACAGTCAGACTGCTGGGGTTCAAATCCTATCCTTGGTCACTCCAGCTGTATGAAATAGAGGAAGATACATGACTTCTCTGTTCTCAGTTTCTTCATCTGTAGAAAGGTTATAATGATGATAATAATAACTCTTTCACAGGGCTTTTGTAAAAAAAGAAAGAAATGTGTCAACTCTTAGTACCATGCCTGGCACATAGCAAACACTTGATAAATTTAGTGATTATTAACTTAAATG